GTATAAAAGTTTAAATGAGCCTCCTCCTCAGGGTAGCTGGGCCCACAAGTAGCTCAGAGTCCCCTGCATAAAAAGATGTGCTTCAGGGTTTCTAGGTATGTCCCACAGAGAAGACAAAACAGAACAGACACAGAATTCGTTGAAGGGATGATTAGCCTCTGTAGCCTGGGCACAGAGCTGCAAAGTGTTGATAGGGAGAGGGATGTTTGAGTTTTTACTCTTAGACCTGTTACCTTCAGGATAAGTGGATGAAATATATAGCAGTCCGGCTGATCTAATTATTGGTATACTGTAGGTATTAAAGTGCACGAGGAAACATTTACGCTTTCCAAAAGGTTTGTGAGCAAGTATTTCTCTGGCACATTTATAAAACCCCAAAACTCATATGCAAGTCCATGCATCTCACTGTCCACACCAACCTATCATATTATCCAATCAGTATATGTGATGAACCACATGAAGAGCAAGGGGTGGATCAGTGGTGCAGCGGTTAGAGCTGTTGTCTCCCAGCAAAAATGATACAGGTTTGCCTCCCATTTAAGGCATTTCTCATTGGAGTTATTTACTCCAGTTTCCTATCAGAACAAAAATGTGATTTTAGTCCATTTGAAAACTATATCGTCAGAGTGCATGAATGGTTATCTGTCTGGTTTTGTGGCTCTGTGGTGACCCTGGGGTGTACCCAGCTTCTCACACAATGACCAGCACCAGATCTGTGACCCTGCATGGAAAAGCAGGACAAAAAATGGCTGAAGATTTAAATACCATTCTTTTATGATGTTCTGAAATAAACTGCTTGATGTGCAACAGAAGGGTGGTCAGTTTTTTTTAGTCTTCTTGGTGATCTGACAATAAACAGATGTAAATCTTCTTTTACAAATCGATAAAAATATTCTTTGAAATATTTCCAAACACAAGACGAAGATTACTTTTTATTTAAGGATTGTTTTGTTTCGTTCTCTCCTTTTTTGACAGGTAAATTATGACTAGCTGCTGAGCTAAAAGTTCATTCTACATCTGTTAGTAGCAATCTTTAAGTGTTTTTATTTATTCAAACCACATTTCCTTTACTTTCTCAAAACGAAACAAGTCTAAAAATAAAAACTGCGTTTGAACGTGTCACCACTCCTTTTTCTGATGACACATGGAGTGCTAATAGTACTCTGAACAGCATTGTTTACTATATTTTTCAGGCACAAATTACACAGCAGCTGTGGGTTGCTGTTACATCTGTGCACACGGTCACCACAGACAGGATCTTACTACTTGTGTTTTTGGCTCTTGAACTGGCGATGTTAATTCATTCTTTTTCCCAGAAGACAGCTGGGATATCCAGCCCCACACATGACCCTGAATAGGATGAATGTTGAATTTTCAGAATACATTAGTGTAGTAGTGTCCTGACTGACATGCCAAGAATTCTGTTATGGAGAACAAATCAGATCAGGAGAAGGTAATTCACATTTTACACACACACCACAGCACATAATCCTATTAGGTGCATATTTTCTTTGATGTATTATTACATTATGTAAATGACCAAACATCCCTGCCATTTATTAAACACAATATGCAGCTACATGCATTTATAAAGCAGAAAAACTAGGTGTAAAATGCAACCGCCTGCGTGTAAAGATAGTTTACAAGTTTTGCTTTTCTTTGCCTTTCAAGGGCACAGCCAGCAGTAAGGTACCAGCTGTTTTTTTATTCCGCTCCACAAACTGTTTCACTGGGGACATTTATTTATGATGACAAGAGACCATGGGCATTTTCCAGAGAATTGCGTGTAAGGATAAACCCAAAATTACAGAATGATGTTTGTCATCAAAATTTGGTGTTTAAACTTGCAAACATTCCTCAGTTGTTTCCTCAGAGATTATTGCATTATTATTGGAAAAAAAATATTTTCAATCTGTGCATGCCGACTTGATGTCTTATACGGCAAGATACCATGAATTATCCAAGGCCGTGCGTCTGATTGGCTGAGCAAGCTGTCTCAGCTGGATGGAGTCAGATTATGTTGCCAGGGCAGCAGCGAAGGAACCTCCCTGTCCCAGTCTTGTTTTCTCTCATTTATCCAGGGAGTTCTCCCCGCACTGAAATCTGTACATTTTAAACTTGTTTTACTCATCAACTGCAATTTTCTCTTAGCCTGTGGAAGAAAAGGAAGCTGCAATCAATAGCTTTAGATTAAATTTACAGATGCATGCAATGAACATAAAACAACAAAGATTTTATTATTATTCACTCCACCGTTAACACAGATAAATCAAATAAAAAGATGGACAGAAACCTATAATGACGGCAAACATGCAGCAGAACCCTTTTTTTGTAAAGGTGCAGTTTTTTTCTGTTATATAATCCTGTTTGGGGTCAGTGGGAACACAAACCTGAAGTGGCAGGAAGAGGAAGAGGTGTTTACTGCAGCCTCCTGCGCTCATGTGTGAGTGGATCTGCACCACTGTGATTGGCCTGCTTCTGACTGATTTAACCATTCAATGTGGATATTTCACCTTTTTGGGAAACTTTTATGACGCTGCTGAACTCTGAGGACAGGATGTCATTTGGTCTTTTATGTTTCACAGTTTGACTGATGCAGAATTATAGCCTGACTTGTTTAGAGACAAGTAATTGAAAATCAAACCTGGACATGATGACTTGGATATGAAAAAAGAGCATTCATGGTCAAGCCATTATTTGCTCATAAATTCTGCACATAGCTAATAGTCATGTAAGACTGGGGAGACCAAAACTTCACAGACATTTAAGCTTTAGAAATTTAAACTCCTAACTCTGGAGTTTAAACATTCCAGCGGTTTGATGTCCTGATGCCATATTACAAATAGTTATGTTGAAAATGATCAACGTCACCTCTCTGGTGGGGAAGGAACTGGAGCTAGTGTGCAAGGCTGAGAGGTTTCGGCTAGAAATAGTCTGCCTCACCTCGATGCATGGCTCTGGTTCTGGAACCAGTCTCCTTGAGAGGGGCTGGACGTACTTCCACTCTGGAGTYGCCYGCGGTGAGAGGCGCCRGGCAGGAGTGGGCATACTTGTTGCCCCCCATCTTGGCGCCTGTACGTTGGGGTTTACCCCGGTGAACGAGAGGGTAGCCCCCCTCCGCCTGAGGGTGGAGGGGATGGGTTCTGACTGTTGTCTGTGCTTACGGGCCGAACAACAGTTCAGATTACCCACCCTTCTTGGAGTCCTTAGAGGCGGCACTGGAGGGTGCCCCTCCTGGGGACTCCCTTGTTCTGCTGGGAGACTTCAACGCTCACATGGGCAATGACAGTGAGACCTGGAGGGGCGTGGTTGGGAGGAACMCCCCCCCCCCCCCGATCTGAACTCGAGTGGTGTTCTGTTGTTGGACTTCTGTGCTCGTCACGGATTGTCCATCAYGAACACCATGTTCAGGCGTAAGGGTGTCCATATGTGCACTTGGCACCAGGACACCCTAGGCCGCAGTTCGATGATCGATTTTGTCGTCATTTCATCGGATCTGCGGCCGTATGTCTTGGACACTCGGATGAAGAGAGGTGCGGAGCTGTCCACTGACCACTACCTGGTGGTGAGTTGGCTCCGGTGGTGGGGGAGGAAGCCGGTCAGACCTGGCAGGCCCAAACGTGTAGTGAGGGTCTGCTGGGATCGTCTGGCGGAGTCCCCTGTGAGACGGAGCTTCAACTCCCATCTCTGGCAGAACTTCGAACACATTCTGGGGAGGTGGAGGACATTGAGTCTGAATGGACCATGTTCCGTACCTCCATTGGCGAGGCGGCTTATCGGAGCTGCGGCCGCAAGGTTGTTGGTGCCTGTCGCAGCGGCAACCCTCGAACCCGTTGGTGGACACCTTCGGTGAGGGATGCTGTCAAGCTGAAGAAGGAGTCCTACCGGGCCTTTTTGGCCTGTGGGACTCCAGAAGCAGCTGATGGGTACCGGCGGGCAAAGCGGGATGTGGCTCGGGTGGTCGCTGAGGCAAAAACCCGGGCATGGGAGGAGTTTGGAGAGGCCATGGAGAAAGACTTCCGTACGGCTCCTAGGCGATTCTGGTCCACTATCCGGCGTCTTTGGAGTGGGAAGCAGTGCAGCACCAACACTGTTTATAGTGGGGATGGTGTGCTGCTGACCTCAACTCGTGACGTTGTGGGCCGGTGGGTGGAATACTTCGAAGACCTCCTCAATCCCACCAACATGCCTTCTGTTGAGGAAGCTGAGCCTGGGGACTTTGGGTTGGGCTCTCCAGTCTCTGGGGACGAGGTCGCTGAGGTGGTCAAATAGCTCCTCGGTGGCAAGGACCCGGGGGTGGATGAGATCCGCCCGGAGTTCCTTAAGGCTCTGGATGTGGTAGGGTTGTGTTGGCTTACGCGACTCTGCAATATCGCATGGACATCGGGGCAGTCCCCCTGGATTGGCAGACTGGGGTGGTGGTCCCCCTGTTTAAAAAGGGGGACCGGAGGGTGTGCTCCAATTACATGGGGGTCACACTCTTAAGCCTCCCTGGTAAGGTCTATTCAGGGGTCCTGGAGAGGAGGGTCCATCGGATAGTCGAACCTCGGATTCAGGAAGAGCAGTGTGGTTTTGGTCCTGGTCGTGGAACACTGGAYCAGCTCTACACCCTCAGCAGGGTCCTGGAGGGTACATGGGAGTTCGCCCCACCGGTCTACATGTGTTTTGTGGACTTGGAGAAGGTATTCGACCATGTCCCAACGGGGGCCTTGTGGAGGGTTCTCCGGGAGTATGGGGTACCGGGCCATTTGATATGAGCTGTCAGGTCCTTGTACAACCGGTGTCAGAGCCTGGTCCACATTGCCGGCAGTAAGTCGGGCTCGTTTCC